TGGGGACATAAAAAGGAGGTCCCGGTAGAACAACCTATCATGTACCAAGATGTCACTACTAATCAATGGTGCCCGGCTACCGTTTTAAGGTGGGGTCGAGGCTATGCTTATGTTTCCACAGGAACTAAGAAGTTCTGGATTCCTGATAAAAGAATCAAGTTAAGGCATGGCGAGCAAGAGGAAGTGTGATGAAGCGGGACTGGAAGACCAGTTTGCGCAGCTAACCATCCAGAGGACAAACAATTCGCGTGCCATTGCCTCGAATGTGAAACACCCCTCCACCTACATGGGGACAGGTGAAGCACCTATGCCAGGAAGGGGAGCGTCTTGTGACTGCCCATGGAAGGCCCTGTACTCCCTCTACATTATTTGTGGCTATTCTGGCTATCCTCACTACCCAGGTAAAAGAGTTGAACTATACTTATTGGGCCTACATTCCGAATCCTCCGTTAATGAGAGGGGTATCTTGGACAGATGTAACTGTACCAATATATACTAATGACTCTAATTGGATGCCTGGACCTTTTGATGATCGTGGGCCTTTGAAACCAGATGAAGAAGGAACAAGAATGAACAACTATTCAACAGAAGTTACCGGAATGCCTGTGTGCCTGGGACTGGGTGATCATTGTTTGCAATTGGGTTATAAAGCCTGGTTGAGTGTGGCTAAAAACACCACTAATCCTTGAAAGGACCAGTCCAATGGAATCAAACTACTGGGGAAATATCTTGTTTTAATTGTACCTTATTAAATTGTGTAAATAACTCTGTACCTTTAATCACAGTAGATAGAGCTTGTATTTATTGCAAGCCAGAACAGGAGTATGGTAACCTGTACAGATGGATGGACGATGGCAGTAAAGTTCTCTAGCTGGAGCTCTCCAAGCCATTGCAGAAGGAATATTGAAGAGGTCAAAAAGGTTTATTGGCATGCTAATCGCTGTAATTCTTGGGTTAATTGCAATAACAGCGACAGCTGCAGCAGCTGGGGTAGCATTACAGCGATCATTCCAAACTGCTACTTTTGTTCAAGACTGGCATAAAGATTCAGAACAGTTATGGAATTCTCAACGGCATATTGATAGTGAAATCAATGAACAATTAGCCGATCTTGAACAATCAGTAGTTTTATTAAGGGACCAAATTGTTAGTTTACAAAAGTGATTACAGTTAAAGTGTGATTGGAATCATACTAGTTTATGTGTCACCCCTGTATCTTATAATGAAACAGCTTTGCTATCTTCTCTGTCATGA